CATTTACATTACAGATGATTGCTATTGTTACAGAATGCAAGTAATCATGTTAAGTTCAATAACATCCAATATCACAGTTCTGTATAAGGGAGGATTTTAATCTTGTCAGGAGGGTGAATTCATTGATTTTCCAGGTTTCCTTGCCACTATTAAGAAAACAAAGTTTTATAAGACTCTCAGCATATCCTTTTTCTTACATTGATTTGTTCTTTTCTATAAGCTAGGAAGATGTGAAACATTTTTAAACTCTTTTCTTTTCATATCCCCATTGGTGAATAAAAAATCAGCTTTTTGGCTGAAATTTACTGGCATGAAGCAAAGGAACATAGCTCATCTCATTTCATAAGATGCGTACTTCAGTTCAAAGCATCTCTTTCCTGAGTGAATTCAACAAGTTTAAAAAGTAATGAAGCATTTGTGTTCAAAGTGTCTTCTCTGAGGAATACCATGGCTCTAAGAGTACTTGATAGCATTTGAAAGAAGTATAATTTCAATGAGCCAGATTTTAGCAAGGTTATCTGGCAGAAAGAGAACAATGTTTGCACATGAAGTGGCCAGAAAATGTCATCAGGAGATAAAATCAGAAAATTATCCACAGGTTCATACATACTCTGTTACAGTATAAAATACCTATGAATAATATGCAGTGCCCCTTTAAGAAGGAGTGTTTAGGCAAGTGAAATGAATTAGAAGATATATTAAAAATGTGATATTCTTCATAGACAAGTTAAAGTTTTGTGGCATCTCCGGTCACTGATTAAATTTTCTTCTGAAGGGTGTTGTGTAAGCAGTAAATGGGGCCATTTTCAACCCTGGGAGAATCAATGCCAATCTCACATTAAAAAAGAAGAACAGGCAAAGAAACAGTAGCAGAGATCAGATGAGGAAGGCTTACTAGAACTAAAGAAAGAAAGGCTCATTTATAATGCATGAAGCCCCTTGGCCCTCATTAAAGGATAAGTATGCTGTCTTGGATACTGTCTTACCCCAGCATCCAAAGTCCTTGGTTTTGGAAAATGTCCAGATGAAGGCCATAAGGATAGGTAAGAGTAAAACGGAATGTGATAATGGATTTGAGGTTGTAATTTTCTCAGCCTATGGGACGTGCAAAGAGAATCCAGTTGGGATATACAAGTACCCATGAGAGAAGTTAAGAACTAAAATCTCCTGAAGTTACATCATGTGCTGCCACCACAAAGCCCATGGTGGGTGTGTGTGTGCAGTCAGCAATGAAGGTGACTGAGGACAGAGGAATCTTCTCTGACAGAAAAACAAGAACAGGAAAAGAGATGGTCTTCAGGTAGACTGTCTGCTCAGGGGCGTGCAGCAGGGATGTGTGTTGAAAAGCAATTGTTGGCTGCTACGTGTCCCTGCAGAAGAGTTTTGAGGTGAAAAACTCTGGGGAACATCTGTCTAGCCAGTTGGCTTTGCTGCCTGACTGGTCATTGCAAGGTAGAGGGTAGGGAAAGGGCAAAGAGAAATTGTGGAAGCTTGCTGTTTTGAATAAAATCTGCAGAATCTTAAACCGAAGAAGTCAAAGGATGTTAAAACTGAATCTGTCCAAGACCCAGGGAAGAATGTCATGATTCAGAGCCTGACCCAAAGCCAATTGAAGCCTGTGGGTTATGGAGCAAGTGTGCTATTGTAAGTAACAAACAGGATGTTACCATATCCCTTAGGGTTGCAGAAACTTTAAATATTGGACTGGAAGAAATATCTTAGCTCATCACTTCCCATCCCCTTTCTATATAGTCAGCCATGAAATATAACCCCATTTACAAGCGCATCAAATGGGTTTTTAGGCTGGTTTTGTAACTTCATTGCTATGTACAATATGAAATCAGCTGAGCTATAATATGAAATCAGCTGAGCTATGCTGCGAGGTGTGGGGGGGTGTTAAGTTGAATTAGACAAAAAACCACTAGATATAACTGTCAGTTACAGAAAAAGTCTGCAGTTAAGGTAGAAGCTGTTCAACAGGTTATTCAGAATAATTTTTCAGCTGTGCATGGACATAGCATTGAATGCATAGGATTGTGTGGGAATTTCCATGCATCAATGTATACATGAAAAAAGGGCATCATGAAGGATAGGAGTTTAATTCTTATACTGACAAGCTGAAACTAATGTGACTAGAAATATCACCATCTAGGAATGCAGAGGATGTTGTAAAAGAAGTTGTTAAGCTTCTAAAAAAAAGAATATTAAAATCAATTGCTAAACTGCAGGCCTAGAGAGCAATGAATTTGAAACTGAAATTTGTGGGGTAGTTGGAGCTATTATAGACTGATGAGTTTTCAGTGGGAAGCATGGTTTTAAGTAGCTCTTATAAAACAATCTAGATGAAAATTAGATCATTACAGAAATGGCACTGGTTTATGCCAAAGGAAAACCTTGCTTCCAACTATAAGGATTTGTTAAAGTGTCAACAAATTAGTGGGTAAAGAAGCACTGGCAGATATAATTATTCAGACTTTTTAAGATCCCTCAATGATATTATTAAAGAAAACCAAGTACCTAGAGGGTAAAAGATAATATTCTTCTGTGCAGTGGAAATGGGCTGGGAAACAGTGAAATATAAAGGATAAAGAGCCAGTTTTCATCTAGAAGTGAGGTTAATAGTGAAGTGTTTGCAATGCATCTGCTGTAACTGAGGCTGTTTATTAATAATCTGACAGCAGGGCATAGTAGCAAAATCTGCAGATGATGATAGGTGATTTAGATCAGTCAGGGATTGAGATATGCAGATATGACAAAATGAAGCCATCAGGCAGTGTATTATGAATTTGATGCTTGTTCTGGGGCTGTTTTTTTTTTGTTTTGGTTTGGTTTTTTTCTTTGTTTGTGTTTTTTGTTTGTTTGTTTTTTAATCAAAAGCAATGTCATAAACATTAAAAGAAACTGTTAAGTTCCTTGCAGCATCAGACTGTATTCTAAATGAAATGAACACAGTTTCAGTGCAAGCTTTGCAAGTTATTACAGATGGTCCAGAAGAACCCTCTGCTTAATACCAATGAAAGAAAAAGGGTTTGATTAAGAAAGTGACAACAAGAACAGAGCAGAATTCTATATGGCTGTTGTATCTCAGTCCTTATCACGCCCTGACTTCTAATACTGTTTGCATTTGTAGTCTGCCAGTCCTGATCAAACTGTAGCCAGTGAAGGAAATCAGTTCCACGTCAAGAGCAGCAGATATGACCTCCAACAAGGAAATATTTCCAGAGACTGAGAAAGATCAATGAAGACATTAATAAGAGGGAACAGAAGCTGAGAGGCTCATGAGAAAGAAAGGAATGCTCATCATTTTTAAAACAGCTTTAATACAAGAAAGAGCAGAAACTGGTGAAGTCTAACAGTTTTGAAATAGAAAAATAGTTATTCATGCACAGTATGTAATGAACTTGCAGAACTTGCTGCAGGAAATCTTAAAGTAAATAGTTCATGAAGACTGTCAAACTGAAAAATAAGCGTATCATCAAAATTCAGTATAATACTCAATGGATAAAAATTTGGAAAGAACTGCATTTTTACAACAATGCTGACTCTGAGATATGAGCTTCTTTTGTATAGGGTTAGAAAAATTATTTCCACTGTAAATCTTTTTTATATCCTTGTACAATAATAGTTATGGCTGTAGTGGGGGACACATTTTGTCACAGACCTTTATTGAGCTTTTATATTCCTCCAGTGAAAGACTCAGAGGCCTATGGTACCTTCCAGCCTTGGATATCTATATTTTTATTTAATTATTTCAGAAAAAATTCTAAGCAGCAATTGACGCTCTTCAATGTTCAAAAGCTTTGCCCTAAATATACCATATGAATGGCAGTTAAGCTGTCATCTGCTTTCTTGGCAGAGGTAATTTTGGAAAGACTGGATGGTGCCTAATATGGAAACATTAATTTTACAGTTATTAGCATCAGTAACTTAGAATTAAGTACTAAGGAAAAGAAATATAAAGAAGCTCCAAAATTAAATACAGGAGTGTAAGTGTTCCGAAGACACAAAATTGATATAAAGGTCAAGAGGATGAAAATGAGACATTTGGAAATTAAGAAATGCCTTGTATTAGTGTATTATCACAATTGCATTGACAATCCAGTAAGCTGTGCTTTCTGCCTTCCTTCTTCTCACTCCAAATTATTGAAAAACAGACACCTATTTCTCAGTGATTTCTCTTCCCAGCTGTTCCAGACAACCCTGCTTCCCACCAAATGTAGCAGGAGGCATCTTGTGCTCCATCTGGTGCGTTGGAAGGTCATGTAATGCTTCTGCAGAAGAAGAATCAGATGTTCTTTGTTACACCCTATCACCATCCACTCTGCTTTATGGATGTAGTGGCTCCATGTGGAGATAGGCACTGTAATTTCTATTTTGCAGGCAGAGACCTGACAGCAACGTTACTTATTCAAGGTGGTACAGCCTGTGGAAGCCAAGGATGCAAACCAGACACCGGATGCCTTAGGTCAGGCTCAGCTGTTGCATGCCTGGAGAGTTACCCGGATTTGAGTGGGAGAGAGGGGTAAGGAATGAATCCGGGGCTCATGTTGCTGAGACAGAGTTGTGTTGTTCTCCCCATCCTTCAACATTTGGAGCAGAGGAAGAAGAAGCTCCCATATGCCAGTAACAGCATGGCTAGAGCTTGCTGAGTTCACTGTATGAAGATTATATTGCTTTATGTTTTTTGTCATGGTGTTTAATTAATGCAATGCCATATCAGTATAATTTCAAGATATTTATAAACTGGAGTAGGCATTTATAAACTGAATCAGGGGGATTTACAAACTGAAGTGCCTATTAAGTACTCTACTCTGAACGTACATTAATGAAGCCAGGGAGAGAAGCATTTCCTACACTAAGGTAAAGACCTCTGACTAAATAACCTGGCAAATAAGGAACTGTTCCTAGTGCCGAGGTGCAGGCAATTACACATGGCCAATATCCCTCCCTTCCTAGGGTAGGTCAGGGCACATCTCACCTCTTCTTTCTCTTCTCCGCAGAACACCTTCCCCACGCTGAGGAACCTGCCTATGCTTGGAAAGCAAGGGGCAGCAACACCCTCTGACTGCAATTCAAGAGAACCCCAAATAGGCACAAGACACTTGTTTTCCATTAGTTAGGGTTATCCTCCTGCTTTCTGAAGTCTAAATGGATAGCAGACTACAGAAATCCTAAGTGAAATGTGGTTTTGAGAGGTTGTGCTGGGTGCACGCATGTCCTTTTTCTCTCCCTGTCTCTGAGTTTTCCACTGGAGACCTCACTGAATCTTTCATTTTGCACAAAGATTGCTCTGAAGCTGTTTAACCTGCGCAATCCTCCCAGAGGTGTACCAGGGCCTGGAGAGGCTGCATCAGAGGCCGTGTCCTCGACACCGGTGCAGGGGAGGGGAGAGGATGTGAGATGATTCCCTTCACAAACCCTAACTCCCCTGGGCTGCCTTGCACACTTCAGAGAGAACTGAGATCTGCTTTTGGGGAGGAATGTAAAAATACAGCTCTGAGTGCCCTCCTACTGCAGTTTTGATTTATCTGCTGAGAAGCCATCAGACTCCACTCAGTTGAAGCCAGCTCTATGCTTATTTATAAGCAGGCTTCTAAAAACAAAAGGTTTTTCTTTAAATTACTACTACTGAACTTTAAAAGCCCATAAGGCCCTTGAAGATACCAAATGGCACAGAACAATATAATCATCTAGTAATACTCACCTGCAGACTCATTATGTTTTTCAGATCTGCTCATTCCTCATCACAACTATTGAGATGTAAGAGAGTCAGCCAGGTTCAGATGTCACCGACAGAGCCATTACTAGGGAATGTGGTGTGAGGAGGAGCAGGATTCATGTCCCAGACCAAGGTTTTAAGGTTTTAATGACCATTATAAGAGATAGGTTCATATTTTGAACTGCAATAAATTAGGATAGTTCTGCATATTTCCAAATAGTTAGGACAATTTATATCGCCTACCTGTGATTAGCTGAAGTTGAAAGGCAGGGCAGTCATTCAGTAACAGCAATATGAATTTTGCCATTGAGGTCAATGGGATCCCACCATCAAGACTTCAAAGCAGTAAAACAGCACAGAATTGATTTCAATGTGCTGTTCTCTCCTTCCTAAGGGCAAGTTGTTCCTTTGATGTTATATTTGAGGTGTTTGTAGAAACCTGTAGGTAGCAGAAAAAATTAAATTCGAAGTTTGCTTCAATTTGACCTCACCATGGGGACAGAAAAGTCACAGTGGGAAATATCAGTAGCATCTTGTGACACAAATGATAAATCGCTTTTCTGAGTTAACGTCACCAAGCACACCGGTCTTGCTCTTTTGGCAGCAAGGAAAAGACTCTCAACCAGACTACCTTCACAGAGAATTAGAGTTCTTTCCTAAAATACGAGAGAATATAATTTCCTTTTGTGTTAGAAACTAGCTAGCACCGAGGTTCTGGAGAGAATGAAACTGAATTTAGCTGATCAATACACAAAGCTTATGTAAGCATGTTTCCTTCTGGGTGAGGGAAATTCTTCGATCCATCGTTATTCAGCTTCATTCTTCAGTGAATTAACATCTCAAATAACTATTCAGGTCACATAGGTTCAAGTCGCTAAGGCAAAAGCAGCTTTGCCTCCCGAGGACTATCAGGCAGCAGGAAAGGTAAATAAAGGGGTTTGTTTAATGTTTAAAAGAGCGTACTAATGGACAATTAGCCAGAGGATTTGAGAGTCGTTTTTAAATCTACAAAAAAGCAAAGCTTCAAACACTCAGCAGACTCTAGGCTGTGTTTTGGGCTAACGCCACAGTACACATCTCAGACTCGCAGCATTGATGGTGACGGGAACCCATGGTTGTCACAGCTTCTGCCGGGAAGCGGTGACAAAAGTTCGTAGATGTCTCGAACAGAGTAGTAGATAATCTAAAGCGAATTAAATTTGCAGGGCAAGGACACATCTAGGCTAAAGTATTTGCCTCAAGCTTCAGACTTCGACTGAACCTCATCTTTAGACAGTCATGGCTGCGATGTCACTATTTATAATATAAATGACGTGGGAAGAAACACAGAGTCATCTGGTTCAATGAAATCAATATAGTCATGCAATACTTCGAGGACTGTTAAGGTTTTCAGAGAGAGTAGATCATATTTTCAAGAACAGGGCTCGCAGCTATTTCTTATTTAGAGAAGGCTGAGAAACAGTCCACACATGTTGGTCACAGCACCCCTGCTGTGAACAAAAAAATCGAAAAGACAGAATGTAATTTTAGAGAAACGGCTTATTTTTGAGGTGTTTCAGTGAAATTCTGCCTCTGAAAACGAGGTGAGGCAGTACAATAGGAACTGTCTTTTCACTGAGTCCAAATTTAGATGGTATCCTCACTACTGAAATGAAAAGTAGAAGAAAAAAATTGAAAAAGATGGCACACATGCTTGAAAAAAAATCGACTATATTATAAGGTATTATTTTTTTAGTTTTAAGTTGCTTTTACAGACCAGGCTATTCAGGCACTAGCATGGGGCTGGGGATTGTGTTTGCTGGCTGAGGACAGGGAACAGCAATACCTGTACCCCAGGAGAAGCCTTTAGTCCAGTTTGGATGAAAAACTGAGAGTAGTCTGTTAGCAGCATGAAGGTAGCAGGAGAGGGTGCAGATAAGGTAATGCTGTGCCCCATGAAAGCACAGCCAGTGCTGGGAATCTGTGCCACCAGTAACCTCTGATTTTCTCCACTTCATCTTCCTTTGGTGGGAGGAATAATGGGCTCATGCTGCTGTCATGAACTTCTTAGCTGCTGCTGCACTTCCAGGATGCAATGCATCCTCTCTTGTCTAACACTTAATTTTTTATAATCAACTCTAACTGCCACTTAATCAGAATAAAAGTCCGATTGTAACATAGACAGGAGCAGAACAGATGTTTGGAAACAGTCTTTTTTTCCGTAATAGTTGTGGCTATGCCTCAGACAATCTCAACACACCCTTTTCCATACTCTCTGGTTTTTTTGTATGATGGTAGCCAGGTGTAAATGGATGCTTCACATCTGTAGTGCTTCTAACCCAGTCTCATGGCCCATAGGAGCCTTTTCTAAGCTGAAAACTCATTCTTGTTCCAAGAGTGACTTGAAGCTCCTGAGGGAGACCAGACCACCCCTCTGCTCACTGCTGTGCCCTGGAGAGAGTCAGCATCTTGTGGAAAGAGTAGTCAGCCTAACTTAAAGCCAGTAGGTGAGTAACAACGGAGAAGCAAACCTGAGTAATTTTTGGTGAATTACGTAAACAAAATCAGCAAGTCAGATGCTATATTATTGTTAAGGTTTATGTAGATTTTTCAGAAAGTTAAGTCAGTGTCTGATGCTCAGAGAACGGCAAAAGACAGTTTACAGTAAGGTTCTTTTCAAAGAACTAGTGTTTAAAGTATTAGAAATAGTTAAAATTAAGCAGTAAGAAAGTTCAGTGCCTTTTTAGCCCTGGAAAACTAATTTCTCACTTGGAATATTATGGGAAATAAAAACTGTTCAGAAATAAGGAATTAAAACTGCGATGATGAACTAGAGTGATGATGAACTGGAAGTGAGGCTTTCCAGTACACCTACCTTGGGCCAAGGGCTTAGCTGGCCTGTAGGTATGCAACTCAATTAACAGTTTTATCATTCTTTTATACCTAATTTGCCTTGTTATGTAGCTATGTACTATACATATTCAAAGAGTACTTGAGACTTAAGGAAGTTTGCCAATTTAGAGGGTTTTCAATTCCACCATTATCTTGCTTAGTTTACACTTCCTCCCTTTATTCCTGAGCTAATCCAAGTGTCTGCTTTCTATCCTGCAGGGGTACTTTCTCCAAACACATCACTAACTTCAGTTATTTTTGCCTCACAGTGCAACCTGTGAGCCAACATTATCTCTATTGCATACGTGCAGAATAAGGGAAAAACAGGATCGAAATAATCTGCCTGAAGATTATCTATTATTTCCATTTTCTTGGAAACTGGTTTCAGAACCAGCAGCAAACTCACAGTGGTGAGTCAGAGAGGATTGGTATTTGTAAAACATCACAAGAACCTCAAACCATAGACTCTGGAAAAAGAGGAAGGATCCAGGCAAAACCGCTTTGCTAAGGGGACAGCAGACCAGCTTTCTGCTCTGCCTCATTCCTGAAGGGATACCTGGCCAACTAGCTAGATCCTCTGCAGCCACCTCTCTTATAGCATATGTAGGGGATGGTGGTACAGGTCTGTGGCTACTGCCCATCTCATAACTGCTGCAATACCAAAGGGTATGAAATGGCCTGAGTGCTACTGTAATCCTTGTGAACTCTCCAGCTGGTCTGCCACAGCCTACCCTCTCTGTCTCTAGGATTAGTTCTCACAGAACAAGGCTGCATTGTACTAGCAAGTGACTTGCAAGCCCACAGCTCATTTGAATCCACACAGGTCCCACACTCACAAGAGAGAAAAAAAAATTTAGGGCTCTCAGTCTAGAATCTTTCATAAGAAAAACTCTCTACCCAACCGACCCCCCCCCAAATCCTGAGACTGAGTCTTTTTTTTATTGAATCATTTAAAAATTAATCAAACCTGAGAATACTACACAACCTAGAAACCCTCTGTACCTGTAACTCACAGAAGATGGGTTAATATTTCAGTACTCAGCATCAAGCACTGTGGAGTAGCGTACAAAACAGGTAAAACCTCATTTTCCCAAAGGTACAGCTGCAGACTACCATGGCAGAAGAAGGTTCATCTTCTAGTGTTTGGACCTGTGTCAAAAAGAGGAAATCAGCAGAATCACAATCTCAGATGATAAAACTCAAACTATTGGATTTCACGGATGTTTTTGTTCTTCTTTTCTTTTGTTGAAGAAGCACCACTACCCAAGTGAAAATTAGGAACGAAGCTGTGGCCTGGAACAGTAGAGTCATGCCATCTGGCTGGGGTGACTAGGGCCGGGACTAATTATTTGCTTCCTGACTGCAGGCTTGTGTCTCTACCGGGTCAGGTCTGGGCTCGGTAAACCTGTCCCATAGGCCGGGTTTTACTCACTGGCAGTAGTACAGGGTAGGATTTGTACAGTTAGTGAGGAGGCTTGTAAGGAAGCATGTTACTTGCTATGAACATTTGCCTTTTGTTTAATATGTTTGTTTAATCCTGAAGG